ACCACATCCCTACGCAGATGAAGACCCCCTCTTGGCGCCATACCACCTACACACTGATTCTGTCTGTGATGCCCCTTGCTCACTAGTCCACCACTTCCAACCCAGTCCCAACAAAATCCATTTTAAGACCCAACTCAATCATCCTCTCCTCTCTGCAGTCTTTCTTGACTCTTCCAAGCAAATAATGTCTGGTTCCTTTGCCCTCTCAGGGTGAACTCCTCCTTCTCTGCTCAGATCTCTCCTACTGAGCACAGGCTGATCATGTTTCACGTCCAGTACACTATGTAGGCTGTGACTGCCCCCTGTAACTAGGCAGACCCTGTCTTCTAGCCTCTAACACAGAGCTGCTCATCCCACCTATATTCCAAGCCTACCCAACTCCTCCCATCAGTACTCAGATCTCAAGATCACATCATCACTCAGACTCTAGTCTGAAAACAGAATGTCTCTTACAGGACCACATGGGTTTGGGTAGAGACTCATCCAATGCATATCACTAAGAAACAGCCTAGGATCTAAACAGGGCAAGGTGTCTCTCCCTGGACCAAGCCACATAAAATCAGAACCAGTCTCATCATGCATCTGCTTGCTATTCATTAAGATGCTTGCTTGCTGCTGAAGACGGAAGCCAACAAGATAGGAGATCAGAAGTCTGTAGACTTGGCACCCGAGGAGCCCTGGTGGTATAGTGGTTACATATTGAGCAGCTAACCACAAAGTCAGCAGTTCAAAACCACCAGCCACTCCCCCAGAAGAATGGTAAGTCTGTCTTCTCCCATCTAGAGGTACAGTCCCCATAAGGGGACTACCCTGAGCTACAAGGTGGTTCTACCCTGAGCTACAAGGTCACTACTGAGTTGAAATCAACTTGATGGTAGTGAGCTTGGTTGGAGACCTGGTACCAACCTGACATTCCAACCTGGACTGCTGGGGCCAAGCTAAAAAACAAGTAGTGCCCAAGGAGCTTGGATCTTTCACGTCAGTTGCCAGCCCTGGGGGAACTGTGTTTCTCAGATCAGCCTGCTGGTGAACCGGAGTGGAGAAAATGCCAGATACGAGTTTAGGGTTAGGAAGGGAGGGAAGTGTGTCAGGGGATCTGAAGAGTCTGCAGTGGATCAGTGGGCAGGAGCACTCTCACTGCAGTGCCCAGCTCAAAAGCATCCTTTAGTGCTCTTCTGACCCCTATCGAAGTCTCAGGGCCTTGTACACACCAAGTGCCTGAATCCCATTGAAGTCTGGGGGACAAGCTGCCAAAATAAGCAAGCTCAGGGGGATTACAGCTGTATGAGCCAGCTGTGGAGGAAGTCAGAATACACAACTGTACAGGTATTTTGTCAGGCTGTCCGGTCTACAGAGCAAGTGGCCAAGGGAATAGCAGTGAGGGGGCTCAGCTTTCAAAGCCAGCGCTGCATTTGGGGTCAGGGAAGATTCCAAGCTGGAGAAGCAATCAGGTATGGCCTAATATCTGATGTCACATACAGAACCAGTGACAAGCTCCAAACCAGGGCCACCAACATCCCATGTGGGTCATTAAACTTCCTTAGAAATTCTATCTCTAAGAGATAAGACTTTCCACCTAACACGGGGGCGGGGGTGGGGGGGTGGGGACGGGGCGCAAGCCCACACAACTGATGCCAGTCTCACCTTGATCAAGACCACTGAGGGCCAATGGGAAAAAAGGGCTCCATTTTACATCAAGACAATTGGAGCGAACCCAGCATTGTGACTGGGGAGTGGCGCCCAGTTGCCCCCTTGTGACTGAGGCAGGGCCACAAGGAGAGAACAGAAGGTGTGAAAATAATGGTACCGTGTGGTGGAGGTGAGAACCCTGGTGAACTCTGGCTCTCATTAATGTCTCAGCAAACCTCAGCTCACATGAACTGAGCACTCAGCTGAGCGTTGGGCTAAGTCTCTCCCTCTGCGGTCCAATTGTCTATATGAATTCTAGCTCCATAACTCATTAGCTGTGTGACTTGGGGAAAATTGCTTGGCCTCTCTGTGCCAATTTCTGAATCTGAAAAAAAAAAAACCCAAAGAAACAAGGCAATAGAAGCACCACCTTTAAAGAATTCTTCTGAGGACGAAATGACTAAAACAATGACATGCTAAATGTGAGCCACAGACTGGAAAAGAGTTAACTGGTTGTTATGGTGTTGGCTCTGACAGTGACGTCATGCATGTCCAGTCACAAAAGAGCTGACTGAGTCCCATCGGGTTTTCAATGGCTGCTTTTGCTGAAGTGGCCCACCAGGTTTTCTTTCTGAGGCACCTTTGAATGGGCTCAAATCTCCACCCTTTTGGTTAGCAGCTAAGGGCTTAACCATTTGCCCACCCAGGGACTAGGGCACAGAGTCAACCTTCAATATTCAAATGAACCATTACTGACCCATTAGCTAGTCATGTGAATCTGCAGGAAAGGCACTGGTGTCCTAGTTTACCAATAAGGCTTTGAAGGACTTGCTCAAGGTCACAGAGTTAATAAATTGCGGCAGGGCTGGGATTTGAATGACCATGGCCTGGCTCTCAAGCCCTGAAGTTTAACTACCGCCAGCAACACAGCACAGCACTGCACTGGGTCCTAAGAACGGAGCGACCAGTGTGGTGAGACAAGCCTGGGTTCTCTACCCAGTGCAGTGAGTGCTACAAACAAGATCCACCGAAATAAACAAATAAAAGTGCCAGGGAGCAACAGAACGCTCTCAGCCAGAACGGCAGAATGCTTCACCTGGAAGGCCACTTGAGCTCTTGTCTCAGAGAATGATGAGGGATTTGTCAGCCAAGCAGAAGGAAGAGCATTCCAGAAAGACAGGCCCTGGGACGCCAAGTGAATATTAAGTTGCACATTGTAGCAGGAGCAGAAGGGAGGGGGCAGAAGGTGAGTCTGGGAAGTAGCAGGAGGCCCATCAGGAAAAGCCTTTATGTCAAGGTGAGAGGTCAGATGTTATTCTGTAAAACAGTACTTCTGGAACTTTAATATGCAGGAATTGTTGGTGCTTGTAAAACATGTGCAGATTCCTCCCCTGCTGTTCACACTGGGAGGGAGGGCCGGCAACAAGGACATTAAGGCAGTCTCATGACCGGTGATTTTACCAACAGAATGATGGAGGGGAGAGATTCGGGCAGAGGCTGCTACAACTGGCCAAACTGGAGTGGAGGATTAGCATTGGAAAGAATGTCAACCTTCATGAAACCAGTCTTGAAGTCACTAATATTTCAGGCAGGATAAATCAAGTAAGTCTTTGCTGACACTGCTCTGGAGAAGGTGGGGTGTTCAGCAGCATCCCTGGGTCACCAGATGCAATAACACTCTTCTTCGGTTCCTACCCCTCATCCCTCACGTGGGACAAGCCCAAAGGCCCCAAACTCAAACTCGCTGCCTTCTAGTCTTTTCCAACTCAGGGTAGGGTAGAATTCCAACTCTTAGGATAGGGTAGCATTGCCCCTGTGAACTTCCGAGAATGTAAGTCTTTACTTTAGCGGGAAGGCGTGTTTTTCTACCCTAGAGCAGCTGGTGATTTCAAAATGCTGACCTTGTGGGTAAGCAGCCAAGGTAACACTAAGCAATGGGCTAAAGGTCCCCTGGGGGGAAGTCACACACACTCCCCACAGGGAGAACCACCGCCAGCTTTAAACGCTCAACCTTCTTCTACAGATAAGGAAATTTAGCAACTGAAAGGTGAAGTCAGCAGCCCCAGCCAGAAGTGGGATGCTAGCACTCACTCCAGAGCCAGCTTTTCAGGGAAGTCAGCCTTCGGAGGCAGAATGTCAGACTTGGTGACAAGCTGGATGACAGACAAGGGATGGAGGAGAAGAGTTTGAAAACAAGAACTTCGTGCTCAGCACTCGGCTGAGAGCATAAGAACCGGTCAAGTGGACTCTGAACTCAGAACCCACGTGTCAAGGTAGAACGGCTTGGTTTTTCGGAAACCGGATCACCTGGTTTCTCTACGGAGGCTCCCCAGGGTGGCCCCACACCCAGTCTTTCTATTAGCCGCCCCATACCAAGCCCGTTAGCCACTCAAACGCTGAACTGGGAGTAGAGGTTACTTGAGCTTAAATTCGAACAGCGTGAAGATGTAGTTGCTCAAAAACAAACAAACTGACCCGTTGGTATGAGTAAAGCTGGTTCCTGTTTAGCCTGGAGGGAGGATCCTTTGTAGCTGAGATGCTGGCTGTGAGATTCAGACCAGCTGGAGCTCAACCCCGGCGGCGGCCCCTTCCTAGCGGTGTGGCCCTGGGGTGGTTCCTTAACCTCCCTGCGTCTCTCTTGCTCGTTTGTAACCCGGGGTACACGTCCTTACTCGTCCGCTTGATGTGAAACTCCAGCAGTTTAAAGGGGTAAAAAGCTAAGTGGTAATTTGCTCGCCTCCCCTCCCCAAGCCACCCAATTCAAACTCGAGATCCTCCCTCCCCCACTCCGGAAGGGCACCCTGGAAGGAGCGGCAACGAGTTCAAGGTCCCTCTCCCCACTAGTTGAGTGTCCTAAAGAGAATTTAGGGTGCGCCTCAAATAGCTGATACACTCCTCAATCCATTGATTTCCGAGTCTGGGTGGTCGCCAAATGCGCGCGGCGAGTCGGCTGCCTTGGCTAAGAGCCGGGTATCGAGCTCCCCGGGCGCCGGGACGATTCCAGGCGGGTCTCCACGCGCCGCCCCAGCTCCCGGAGATCAGGAACGAGAGAGGCGCCCAGATTTGGAAAGGCGCGACGGCAGCGCTCCCAAGCCACGCAAGAGTTGTAAAATCGAGAAAAAGGAACAGGGGGCGGGGGACCCCACAGGGACGTGTGAGAAGAGGGGGCAAAAAGAAGCAGAGCCCCCACCCCACCCCTGCCGAGGGAAGGGGGCAGCCTACCACACCTGGGCGAGCGGGCGGGAACAAAGCGGGAGCGGCAGGGCAGACGTGCCGGAGCAGCAGCGTTCGAAGAGCGCTTTGGGGAGACGGGGCCTGCCCGGGACGCAGGGAACCCCCGCGCCCTGGGCGCGCTCCCCGGCACCCCTTACCTTCGCCGGGGCCGCCGGGGCGCACTTCCGGGGGCTGTGCTGGGGACGCGCCGGGCCAAACCCGGGGACCGGGAGACCTCGGAGTGGAGGCGACAAAGCGCTGCCGGGGGCCCCGAAGCCAGCGCGGGCGCCTCGGAGAGAACTCCCAGCGGAGTGGGCGCAAGGCTGGGACTGGGCGAGGGAGCCGGGGTCCCGGCCTCTGCTGCGTTCGAGGACTGCCGCGCCGAGCCCCGCAGCCGCCGGAGGAGCCCGAGTCAGTGGGAGGAAAAGGTTGGCTCATTTCCTTCGGTCTACACCGCGCCCCCTCCTCCGCCCCTCGGCTCCGGACCTGCCCTCCCCCGCCCCCGCCCCCTTCCCCAAGCCTGCGGCCCCAGTGGGCACTCGGGAGCCCGAAGGGCTGCGGCTGGCGCGCCTCCCTCCGCGCCAAAGTTCGTTCACGCGCTCAGGTCGCGGCTCCCTCCCGCGCTTGCGACCGTCTCTCGCCCGACCAGGTTCCCCACGGGCCGTCTGCACCCTGCACCGGAGCCCCGTCTTTCCCGCTTCCGAGAAGAGCCCGGATTCGAAAGCAGACTTTCAAATCGCTGCCAGCATCCGTCCCTTATTCCTGCCCCGTCGCCGGCTTTGAGTCTGTTGAACCACCCACCCAAACAGGAAATAAGCACTTACTTTGTTAAATGTGATCAACTTTTATTTTTCTTTCCCCTCCAGTGGGAAGTTTAAGCCCGGTGCCTAATCTCCCAGGAATGTTTATGATGATCGATCTGAAGGAGGCCAGCTGAGGCCTTTGTTTGGCCATATACAGTCTAGCTGGGGGCTTCTTTGTCACATTCAACAAGTGTTCACTGAGAGACTGTTGGGCGATGAGCTGGATGCTGGACTCACCGAAATGAATTGGATCCATTTCCTCCACAAGCGCCTGGAGCGGGGGGATGGGAACCCAGGGTCTTGGGGTCTTCTGGGATGTCGGCCAAGGAGTGGGAGAGCTTTCTGTGTAGTCAATGCAGCAGAGGCAAGCAATGAGGAAGCCCCTTCGGGAGGTAATGTAGATAGCAGAGGGTGGTGAGGGAGGGCATCTGGGGACCTACCACTCCAACCAAGAGGTGATAGAAGAGGGATGGTGGGGTGCAATGGACAAATGGTGATGGGAAGAAATTGTCCAATCCTGCTGACCCATAATGACAGCCTGCAGATGTGGAGATGAAGAGAGAAACCCCAATGTGGGATACAGAATTACTACTGCCAAGGGTGGGGGTGGTGGTGGTGGGGGGGAACACTGGCAGCCCCAACATTAGACAGGAGCATGTTAGAAATGCAGAATCTCCTGCCAGGGCGTTTGCCCCACTAAATCAGAATCTACAGCCTCAGGGGAGTCACATGGACATTAGAGTTTCAAAATCACTGCTCTCTAGACCACAGGTTCTCCAATCTGGCTGTGAATTTATTCAAAACATCTGGAGAGCTTTCAAACACACACACAACACAAAGCCCCAGCTCCACCCCCACAGATGCTTATTGAATTGGTTTGAGGTGGGGCTCCAGTGGCAGTATGAAATGCTCTTTGGATGATTTCACACCCCATGTTGGGAGCCACTGCTCTAGAGAGGTTTAAGAGCTACTTCATTTAATCTGGAAGTGTCCTTCTAGAACTGAAAGAAAAGAACTCCCCTCCCAGACCTCAGGCTCCTTGTCTGTGAACCAGAAAGCATTCTTGAAGAACTCCAAAGTCCACCAGGTGGTGTGAAAGGTGCCATCATCAGTACACCCCCAGGTATAGTAAGACTGTGGGTGTAGTGGTTGTGTTTATGAGTTAGGCTGCTATCCGACAGGTCACAGTTTGAAACCACCAGTCGCTCCACAGGAGAAAGGGCTTTTTATTCCAGTGAAGAGTTATAGTCTCAGAAACTCACAGGGGAAGTTCTACCCTGTCGGCATGGACTTGATAGCAGTAGGTGAGGAATGGCCATGTGTTGAGTTGAATATGATGTTGGTCCAACCAGAGGACTCCCTCAAACTCCAACTCACTGCTGTCCGGTCAATGCTGACTCATAGCGACCCTCTTGCGGGTTTCTGAGACTGTTTATGGGAGAAGAAAGCCCAGTCTTCTTGCAGAGGAGCTACTGGTGGTTTCTAACTGCCCATGATGGGGATCACAGCCCAATGAGTAACCACTACACCACCCAGGCTCCTTAATCCAGACCCAGCCCTGCACAAATATGAGAAGATTGTGCACCAAACACAGTGACACATGCATGTGGCGCTCCATCCTATGCACACACAGTGTTGACTGAATGAGATGCAAATGCCAGCAGATGAACAAGACTTTCCATAAACTGGCTGTTTGGGTTTAATCCAGAGCTTATTCGTTTGCCTACCAGGCTGGAGGAAAGGGCATTTGGAAGCATTCTGACCCATGGATCAAGACTTGACTAGCAGCTCTGAAGATCTGCTAATGTTTTGTGGAATGCTTGGTGCAGATAGACCGGATGAACTGCTTGCCAGATGTTACAATGAAGAAGCTACCGCTGACCCCATTCACTCCCGTTGGTTCCAGGAATCGCAGGCTTGCAGGGACTAGATCTGCCATTTAAGGCAGCCCGTCTCTGCTTGTCATCCATTGCTGGTCAGAGAGGCCCGGATAGAGGTCCTCCGGTCACTCTCCAGAGTCCGTCACTTTGTATGGGAATGAACCGTGAGGTTGGAGATGGCTGCTCCGGGCCCCACTGCAACAGATGCTCCCAGAAACCTGCAGACCGTGGTGGAGCCCAGGAAAGGAACCCCTCAAAGTTGGCAGCCACACGTTTGCGTGTGTGTGAGTGTGCGTGTGTGTGCATGCACTAGCCTTTAGGGAGGGCCTCCTGTGGACCCCAAACCAAACCAAACTCACTGCTGTCCAGTCAATGCTTGGAAACCCACAGGGGCTTGATGAGAGTCAGCACTGCTGTTTACTTAGGTTCTGAGTGGGGGCTAGGCATCCCTGGCAGCATGGTGGGTGAGACGCTGGAATGCTGACCTTGATGTGGTGGTTCAAAGCCAATGGCCTGTTTGTCCGAGAGCAGTAGTGGTTCTCAACTTCCTTTCATACAGTTCCTCATGTTGTGGTAACCCCCAACCATAAAATTATTTGTGTTGCTACTTCATAACTGTAATTTTGCTACTGTTATGAATCATAATGTAAGTATCTGATATGCATGATGTATTTTCATTGTTACAAATTGAACATAATTAAAGCATAGTGATGAGTCACAAAAACAATATGTAATTATATATTGTGAAGTATTTATTTCTAATGACAAATAAATGAAATTTTGTCTTGAAGCATGGTGTAGCATAGGTAACTGTCTTCACTCAGCGTACTCGTCAGTGGGCGTATCTGCATGTGGGCAGACCCGCCTGGAGACGGATAGAGGAGCAGTGTCTCGGTTCCTAAGACCATTGGAAATATGTGTTTTCCAATGGTCCTGGGCAACCCCTGTGAAAGGGCCATGAAACTCCCAAAAGGGTCACGACCCACAGGTTGAGAACCACTGTCCTAGAGGGTCACGATACATAAGTCTGAATTTCCCCCGTGGCCATGGGTTTGGCTGGAATTTCATGTGTGACATGTCAAGGCACAGGCCATACTGGGGGACTAACTCATAGGCTATGAAAAGAAACTGAAAACATTGGGGTGATTTATCCCAGATATGTGAGAAGGACAGTCTTCCTTAATAACTCAGCTACCAGAAATGAGGGAATCTTCTATTCCATTCTGCAGTGAAGTCTGCCTTGGGCCATCCTGGTGTGTGAAGAGGAGGCTGTTCCCTGGGGTTTCCTAGGCTGTGGCCTTTAAGAGACAGATCACCAGTTTTCTCTTGCACGGTGTCTGGGGGGGGCGGGGGGGTGGGGTGTTGAGCTTGTAGTGAAGTGCTTCACCTTGGTGCTACCCAGAGACTCTCATTTCCCTATCTGTTGCTGTGAGCATCCACCTATGGGGGTTCTCCTTAAAGACTCTCACTACAGATGCAGACTATAGATCAGATGTGAGGAAGGAGCACTAGGCCACTGTGGTTAGCTGCCTATCCTCCGCAGGTCCACAGTGATGATACATGTGAAGGGAACCAACTTCTCTCACATGGATAGCTGGGCTGGCCTCCAGGGCAGAGGTGGTCAGGGAACAACAGCCCCAGTTGGGAGCCGCATGGTAAAGAGAGGCAGAGGCAGGAGGAAGGCTGTGTGCAGGCACCAGGTGCAGCTGCTCTCCTAGCTAGGTATGGGGAGAAAGGGTCATTCCAGGAAGCCAGGGTGTGAACTAGCCATTCCATGCCTAGTACTGTCCCAGAGGTGAGACCTGGGCCTCTACCTGTGCACACCTTGCTGATGTGGACAGCTGACACCAGCAGGCCTGGGCCTCCTGCAGAGTGTGTCAGGGCTCCCATGGAGCTGCTAGTCCCCCACACTGATCTCTGGACCAACAGCACACTTACTCTCGTGGAAGGAGTCTAGGCCCTTGGACCCCTTCAGTGAGAACAAAGAAGACATGGTGGTCCTACTTCTCCGTGAGGGGAGCTGTGGCATTTCTACAACACAAACGTCCTGATGCCAGGATGTGGTCCAGCGATCCCTACCTCCACATGGTTGCAGAGCGTGCTCCAACAACTGTTGTCCACAAGGACCCTAGCTACTTCCTGATTGCTTCCCCGAACCTCATCTGTGCTGATACAACAGCAAATTGAGGCAATTTCTTCTTTTGCACTGAATGGACGGCATTGATAGGGGTGCTACAAGGTGCCTGAATTTCAGGCAAAAATCCAATCTCTGACTTCCTACCATTTTATTAATGTGACAACTAAGTCCTGGTGGTGTAGTGGGTTATCCATTGGGCTGTTCGTCACAAGGTCAGCAGTTGAAAATCACCAGCCACCACCTCAGAGAAAGATGAGGCTTACTCATCTCATAAAAAGTTACATTCTGAGAACCTTCCTCCTCCCCACGCCCCCTGCCTCCAGAGGCCTTTCTATTCTTTCCTATAGGGTCGCTATGAGTCGGAATGAACACAATAACAGTGAGTTTACTTTTGGGGGAAGAAGATGGGAGTGTGTGTGTGGGGGGAGGGGGTGAGCAACCAAGGCCCCAAACCAAAGTAGAGAGAGTAGTAAAACTGAACTACCAGCTGTGAGAATGACCCAGAGCGGGGCATTGTTTCTGTCTGTGGTAT